TGGTTGAGCACGCAAGTGGTATTCAGGAGGTTGTGGGTTCGATCCCCCACGGCCCCCTGTGATGCGCTTCTGGTTCACCAGCACAGATGTTTGGCTTGGGCCTCCTGGCTAGTTGTGGAAGTTGGTTAGGCTTTCCAGCTCATGCCAGGTGTTAGTAGCTGGGGTACTACTCCCCGCATAGAGCAGAATAGGCTGGGATGGCTGGGAACTCAATCCATAACCCTTGGCGTCCCTACGAAATCAGATGGACATATGAAATCAGATAGACGTATGTAGGTAGGTAGATAGAGTGAGATATCGGAGTGAAGAATATAGATTAGTTATTAAACAAAAAAAAAAGGTACTTGCCTAATGGGTGAATAATGAAAAGTGCATCTCGAAAGGTCAGGATAACACATTAGAGTTCGATCCAGTACAGTTTTTGCTAAGAAGGAACTGCTTTCTAATTAAACTCACCAAAAAAACAAACACAAGATAATAGATGTGTTTCAGAGACACTTTTCAAGGTGAGTACGTCAATTGTCCGACGAACTACCATCGTCACTCAGAATACAACATACAATAATTATCCCTGTATCCAGACTGACAGTTGGCCCAAATACAGCTATAATGACCGTACGGCATACGTTCTATTTGCCAGAACATGGTAGTTGAACAGAACACAAGGGACTCGATGCATTAATCCACACTTTTTCACTCGGAAGCCAACCTTTGTCATTTCCATACTACTTTGTGCTCTTCCCGAGTGGAGCTCAGCTGCTTGAGAGAGCAACGAGCGACAAGACGGTGAGCAGAAGAAGAGCAGGAGCATGAAAAAAAATATCTTTACAAAAATACGCACGTAAGTACAATGTTCAGGTTGCTTCACCCATCTTTCTCAGGACTCCTCTCTGCTGGTGATTGAGGAGCTTGGTTCTCCCCACTCCTTCACTGCCAAACCAGACTCAATGTCACCCCCCAAGTGAATCTCTCTCTCTCTCTCTCTCTCTCTCTCTCTCTCTCTCTCTCTCTCTCTCTCTCTCTCCCTCTCTCTCCCCCTCTCTCTCTCTCTCTCTTGCACAAGCCTCATGAGTTCATATCTGACTAGATTGTGAGCTTCTGAAGTTCGGTTCATTACACTAATCCTTACAAAAAAACACAAAAGATTCAAAAGAAGCAAAAAAAGAAAGGTGGAGGGGGGAGACATTCATCCTGAATTCGTGACGCCGGGTACCATCGGAAGATGTCACCCTTCCCCCCAACCCCCCCCATGCCCTGCTCCATCATCCTTACACGGGGGTACCCATCCTGATGTTCTCTGCAGTCATCCCGAATTCGTGACAGAGGCACTGAAAACTTGGAAAAAAAAAGGTACAAAAACAAAGTACCAAAAAAAGGTATAAAAACTATTAAAAAAGTTATAAACAAAGTTACAAAAAAAAAGTCAAAAAAAGAAAAGAACAAAAGGGAATCACTGACGGGCCTAGGTCAGTTGGTACACGCATGAACTGTTGGAATACAGACCCAGGTTCAAAATTCAAATCCAGATTAGTGATATACAATAATTCTCAATTACCTGGGGCCAGTCAGTCCGATGACGATATTTCAAGGCTGTCGAATCATGTGGTCTTCCATTCCCCCCATGACCCAGTACTTTCCACTGTGTTTCAGCTACCGTCTTCCCCTGAAGACAGGACCCCTGGATCATGAATGCATACCAGCTATGTTTCAGGTCCGATGCATCCATGATGATGACGGTGCATCGTGTTCAGAGGAAGACTGTAGTAGTCCATGTGTCGGTCCGAACAACTTCTACAGAAAGAGCAACAGCTTTAAACCACCAGTACACAACCCAAGCCTTGCAAGACAAGCCAGAAAAGAAGAGAAGTCTGCCGCTCGTGGTTCGGCAAAGCTTGGCGCACAGTGTGGCCCCGACAGGCCCGGGTGTACGGGCGGTTTACTGGGGGGTTCATGGGTGTCTGTGGAGGTAGCGATGGTTTAGGAAGATACTTTGAATGGGGTAGGCAAGGGAAGAGTAGGGGAGCCAACTCACCATCGAAAAGATGGTCGGGGTTCGAGCGAGTCTCGGCAAACACTGAGGTATGCTTTTGCCAGTGCTGGACACGTCTTCGCAGTCACAAGAAGAAGCCTGGCATGTGATTTAACAGTTGAAATATTCAGTTTCCTCATGAACCTCAAGAATCGGCCAAATGCGCTTCCTATCTTCGAATTCCCTGTTACATTACATCATCATGTGTATTTGTCACCGATGACGGAAAGAGCAAATTAAGAATTATTTCGCCAAAGAAGACCAGAACTTGTCCTTTGTGCCATCCGTTGAAATTGGAACGATACACAAAAGATTAGCATGGCCCCTGAGCAGCAATGACGCGCAAAGATTAGCATGGCACCTCTGCAACAATGACGCACATCAATCGAGAAATCGTACAATTTTTACTGAAMAAAAAAAAAAAAAAAACATAAGCTGCAGATCCAGGTTGAGTTGGAGGGTCGGAAGAGCATCCCCATCTCCTGTCCCAGAAGTTCGGCAGCATACTACCAATAATCATTTTCTAAATTTAATAAATCCTGAAATTCATTATCCCATTCATCAACGTACACGAGCAAATGCACAAGGTTTTGAACTCCCAACCTTCTGTACCGGTTCAATCCGAGGATCGAGGATATCCAGATTCGATTTGAGAGATTTGGCAGCATCTTCAGGCTCAATCCAATCATTTCGCAGCACACTGGTAATCGTTTTCAACCACTGGTGACATCAACGATTTTGAGCCCACAAGTGTTCGGGCCCGATAATCTTCAGGCTCAATCCAAGTTTTGGTTGGGCCCAAGTTTGCAAACTTGAGAATTGAAAGTGCTCATTCCGAAAAAAGTGGACTCTTGGAGGCTCGGGGCTCTCGAACCAAAATGACTGGTGACCAACTGGCCTAGCTCAGTCGGTACACCCATGAAGTGGTGAGACAGAGATGATACATGCCCGGTTGGGCAATGCATATGGAGCCAAGGATCCGGAAAGTGATTAAAAGGACTCGAATGGACAATGCAATGTCAGCAAAGCATCAACAAGCAATGTACATCCCGATACATACAAAAATAGCACAATGTAGCGCAGCGGAAGACTCAATATATGACCTGACCTATCTGATACTGACGCAACATCCATCATACACCACACATGTGAGACAGGAAGGAGGGACCGCATACACAGAAGACAGGTCCCTCTTTGCACATGCACATGGGGGAGGTACCATGGATGAGATATGACGGGAGAGGCGAGACGAATATGGAGGCAAGGGAGAAGACCAAGATCGTGATAGCGAAGTCCAAAAATAGTCCCCTGCCAATGTCCAATCAATGTCTGCCACAAAAATGTCGGATCAGATCCTGGGCACAATGCCCGACGTAAACTCTGCCATAGATATTTTGTATGTACTTTATGAATTTCTATCAAATAATATACATTAGTAACAAGCATACATCAATAGAATATACATAGAAAAAGATAATATTTTACAAATATAATATTTTAAATATATCAATAAATATTATTTAAATATGAATAAATGAATAAATATAATTTGACGATATATACTCTCTCTCTGAAACAAGAAGAAGAAGAAGAAGAAGAAGAAGAAGAAGAAGAAGAAGAAGAAGAAGAAGGTAGGAGGGAGGAGATTTGGAGACGACGATGAAGAAGAAGAGGCCGTCTCCCTCTCGATCTCACCTGCAGGTAACCGCCGCCATGGACTGACCGTTGTCGTCCTCGTCATGTGCAGGTCGCCGGCATGGAGCCCCAGCTATGGCGCCAGGTAAGTTCCACCGGTGCAGGTATGGCCTCCGCCCCTCCGCCTACCTACGCCTCTACCTCTACTCCAGCATAGCGCTGTAGCACTGCAGCGCTGGTCCAGCAGAGTGTCACTCCAGAAGTGAGCTACTCAAACTGCGTGTCTGCTCAGCCGTGGCCCAACTATAAGTAGGTATGCCTCTGTGTGCCTCTGGTCCTAGGCCAAACCGAGGCCTGCCTGGGTCCCTACCGGATGTCCAGGCCCTCCCTGCTGCATCGGTATTCGGACGAAATGGACCTGGCCCGAAAGGGCCTGCCTTCGAACGAACGAGGCCCAAGACGCGGCCTTGGTCAGAACAGACCTTCGGTCTGTTTGGACTAACTGTAAGTCCGAAATGACGTCTGAACAGACAAAACCAGGACAGCAAAAAAATAAATCAATAAATAAATGCTGTCTCGAATCGATACCTGCTGCCTGAGGGCCGCCGTGGGCCTCCAGGGCGCGCGTCTGAAGACGTTGTTGAGATTCCTCCGCATTTGCACATTCATCCGGTGTTTCATGCCTGTTGCTCCCTTGTGTCAGCAATCAGCTATTTCCATCTCGAAGATCTATGATTCCCCCTGATATGGATGGCAAATATGACGTGGACCGTATCGTTGCAGAGGATGTTTATAGATTGGGACGCAGGGGTAGGCCCCAGCCACAATACAAAGTTAGATTCACTTATCAAGAGCCTTCGGAAGATCGCTGGTTTACTAGAGATGAGCTAGTCGAAACAGCACCGCACATACTGTCTTAATATGAGAGAGCTAGGAGAGGAATCAATAAAGTCTTACATGTGTGTGTGTCATCTCTCTCCCTTCAGGGTTCAATGGTTTAGGGTTTAGGGTGTACGGTTTATGGTTTAGGGTTTAGGGTCTTGTGCTCCCATCCCCATCTCTGTGTGAGGGAATATTAATTTCTAATCGTGATTTTGATCAGTTTAATTTTTCTTTTTTTTTATAGGAGGGGAGAAAAAAAGAAGTAAAAACGAAGTTCAAGTCCACTGCTGAAGGGTTGTAAGAGTGCAGAGCATGACAGTAGCCTCACTCTCGATCGAGGACACTAGCTTCTGAACTTTTAAGGTTTCCGGTTTAGGGGTTTGTGCCCTCGTCCCCACCTCCGCCTGAACGAATATTAATTTGTAACCGTGAGTCCGATCAGTTTAATAATTTAATTTAAATAAAAACAGGAGGGGAGAAAGGAGGGGGGGGAAAAGAAAATGTTACGATCCTGGCCAATTTCGAAGTATAAATTCATCAGAAAGTACAATGCCGTCCAATTGCAAAAAGAAATGAATGAACTTGAGAGGAGAGAGAGGGAAAGAAGAAGAAGAAGAAGTAAGAAAGAAGAAGAAGTGTACATTCATCAGAAAGTACAATGCCGTCCAATTGCAAAAAGAAATGAATGAACTTGAGAGGAGAGAGAGGGAAAGAAGAAGAAGAAGTAAGAAAGAAGAAGAAGTTGTACTCCAGCATCGACCAAAGATAATGCTCTTCTTCTCGCCAACCAATCTCCTCCTCATCATCTCCTCCTTCCTTGTTCAAACAAGAAATAACAATAATAATGTTGAATGGCTGAACCAGAATCAATGTCCCAATCCCACTTCTACTGCAGGCACAACATGAGGTCCACCATAGCCATGGCCACCCTTCTCCTTCCTCTCATATGTAGGCCGAGGCTATGGTAGACTACTGAGGGCTCAACCCTCCTGTCCAAAGGACAACCCAAAGCAGCTATATTGCTGCCTCCCTATGCAAAGGACAACGCAAAGCAGCTATGCCGCTGCTCACTAGGCCGCCATGCCTGTCTCCGCCCCGAGCTTCCTCGGTGCGGCACTACCCCAACAGGGGCCTTCCGGATGCAGCGCCTAACAAGGTGATGAAGATGGTGTCCATCATAGCCAGGAAGGTACCTCGCCACTCTCCTCCTTAGTCCCCTTCTCCCTCCTCCTCCTACCGGTAGAGCTCCACCATAGCCAAGGTGGAAGCTCCCGGCTTCTTCCTCCCAGCAGCGCTGTAGTGGCCAGCGCTACTCCAGCCAGCGCTCCAGCAGCGTGTCGCCAAACTTGCACACTGAAGAATGAGGTCGGGCTCTTCCCTCGGCCTCTTGATATAGCGGCCTACTTGCCTCCTGGGTGGTGACTTCCAGGCCGCTCGGCCTCCCAAGCAACTGGTACCTCCTCCCTTTCGGAGGGAGACATCATTGCAGACTCTGATATTGCCCGTACAGGCTCTAGACTCAGACTGGATGGACTGGTACCGGCCTAGACCTAGCCTACCGCTACTGGGCCTCTAAAAATGCCAAGTTTGTCTTCTTCTGCTCGGCCTCGAGTACCCGGCACATCAACTGCTACCGGGTGCGGTACCGGCCTACCTGCTACTTGAGTGTTTTTCCGCTGCTCTAAGCACCGCGGGCCCCTGGATCCGGTACTTGAGTGTTTTCCCTGCTGCAACCCTCAATGCCACGGCCACAGGTAAGTACCGGCCCTACAGGCCTGCCAAACAAGCAAGTACCCTTGCGGGTCACACACACACACTCATACCGACAAGCACTCAGACAGGCACGCAGGTCAACAAGCACGCACACATACAGACTTAGAAAACTCAGCAGAATGCGGGAATCTCAGCAAGGCATCCATTCCATCGGCAGAACTTCAGAAATCATCAGTGTTCTCAGTCTGTTTTATGGTGGGTCATTACAAAAAAAAAAGCCTTCAAGTGCACTGCTGACGGGTTGTACGAGTGCAGAGCATCACAGTAGGCTTACCCTCGATCGAGGACACAAGCTTCTCGACTTGCACTCCTGCTGCTGGACAGACACCCTGAGATGAGTCGGTGCATAGAAGCTCAAGGACAGAGTCTGCCTCCATTGCAGCTACCTTGAGATGGGTCACGGTTGTCCTTGTAAAGTTCGTGGGCCGATCCACCATTTCCTCGTATGCTGATATCTGGGAAAGTTGATCCAAAGCGGTGCTTCCGAAGACAAGGCCCTGCAGCCAGAAGCCCGATTGACACACACCAAAAGCAATCATTCACAGAAGCACCAGAAAGCACACTTCTTTTTTTTTTCTCTTCTAAATCCTTCACAGAAGCACAAGAAAGCACACACTGCGTTTCATTGTGTTTTTTAAAGTGTTTTTCTTTTCTTTTTTTTTTCATTCACAGAAGCACCAGAAAGCACACTGCTTTACATCGTGTTAGGAGTCCGGACCACAAAATCCCCGAACGTTGAGAGCAGGTGCTGCGCCACCATGCGGCAGAGACCTATAGATAGTGGAACAAGGTTCACCCATGTCCCGATATCATCTGCCCACTCCTCTCCCAACCTTGCATGGTTGAGGTAGGAGGAGGTCAGTGCTACAGCAGAGTAGTAGTCCACCATTGTACACACCAGACTTGTTATCGCCACTCCCCGGTGTTTCCTCCGTCTTGTCCTCCTCCCCTCCTCCTCTGCCTTTCCACCCCTTCCTCCTGAGCATATTCAAAGCTATCCAGACGTGCCACTGTGCGCATATCAAAATGTGATAGAGGATGAAACGCATACGCTCAAAGCTTAAAAGATAACGTCTTTGTTATAATGGTGTGTCACTGATACGATCGCTTCTCCTGGTGTGTCACTGATACGATCGCTTCTCCTCACAAGCTCGAAGTCCCAAAAATATTATATTTTATCACAATGTGTGTCACTGCTACAATCGCGTTTACCCAATCCTTTCTTCCTCTTTCCTGTTGCACATCCTCTTCAGTCCTTGCTCATCTTCCTCATAGCAGATTGGGCTGAATGCTGTCCTCCTTCCTCTTTCCTGTTGTACCCAAATTTATCACCTGCACATCCTGTCCTCCTCATCCTCCTCATCCTGATCCTTTTTTTCTCTTTTTTGAAGTTTTTTTCTTTTCCTTTTTCTTTGGTTCTCTGATTCGTTAACGGTAGTAACCAGACAAATGAATCCAAAAGCTACGCATGGCCATGCACCACAACCTAGATAAATATTAATTATTATTAAATATGAGATAATGAAAAGAAAAAGTTGAGCACACCAGAAAAGAAACAGGACAAAGGTTGGATTTCATACCTTTAACCTGCGTGGCACTGCCATGTCCTCCGCAAGCACGCGCATTTTGAGAAACGAGAGCACCCGAAATATTGTCTGCGATCAGCAAACACATGTCATCGCTTACCCATATGTACCAATTCGTACAAACATAAAGTTCATAAACCCTACACCCTAAACCCTAAACCGCTTGAACGGTACTGGTGGTTTCAAATCGCCTCAGGCATTTGCCATCCTGAGAGCATCGCACAAAAGACAAGGGGTTAGTGTTTGTGCATCCATTTCTTTCACACAAAGAGATGGCCACATAACAACCGTCATCCATAACAAGAATGAACAAGTATGGTGTGCACTCTACACCCATCCTATGCTCCACGAACATGCTTGCTACAGATCCCATAGCGTAGCATGTGCCACACACAACTTCCTGGCATACTACACAGCACACTGCGCAAACAAACCACAAGTGATGGTTTATCTTCATATTTTTCGTGGTCCTTGTTATGGCACTTATGCCAGTCCACGAGAATTAGTGTGGTGTCTTGGAGTAGTCATTTTATTTTTATTATTATTATTAATTAATGATTGTAACAGCTTTTATTAGGTATGTGCTGCCATGGGGACAAATGAGTTTTTAGGGAGCTACTTACTGTAACGAAACAACTTTAGCTAGTGCAATACCTGTTATAGGAGACACCATAGTAACCTGGTTATGGGGAGGCTCCTCAGCGGATAGCGCTTTTTTTTTTTCTTTTTTTTTTTCCCAGAGGATAACGCAATTTGAGTGTGACCCTAAACCTATAAACGCCGTAGGACGTGAAACTAAAAAAACAGCGTGCCATTGCTTGTTGTTCGAAGTGATCGTTTGGTGCGTTTTTGTAAACCCAAGATTTACGTTTTAGACAAGCAACGACAAAGACAGAAAGGATTTCAAAGAAAGAAAAAATCAGAATGCATGACTTCATTCGATTTGGCATTTCACTTACAGTGTGCACTCTGCACCCATTCTCCGTTTCAGGAACATGTTTGGTGGAGTTACCTTCTACACTATGCATGATATAATATATTACACTAACAACCACACAATGTACATTAGACCACAATCACACAATGTGCATTACACAATGTATTCCACATAATGTACCATTCTCTCAATGCATGCAAAAGACTCCTCAAACCACAGCTAACGCTCCTTTGTACAGTTCGTTTGGTTGTTCTCTGTGGTACAACTGTGGCAGCTGTGCTTTTTTATCGATTAGCTCAAAGAGAAGTTTCCACTGGTGCTCCTTTCATTATAATCATACTATAATTATACTAATATTAAATACCTATTTTTATTTGCTTACTACTACTTGGCGTTTACTTAACAGTGTGCGCTCTGCACCCATTCTGCGTTTCGGGACCATGATTCCTGCAGTTACCTTTTACACTAGGCATCATATAATATTACACACACAATGTACAGCACACTACAATCACACAATGTACATCACAGTATGTAGTATGTAGTATGTATACAACATAAAACAAAGATCTCAGCGCATACAAAAGACCCCTCCATCCCCTCGCCCGGGCCCACCTCTTCCTCCTCCCTGCAGGCGGCAACCAAATCAAACCCACCCACACCCCATGAGCCCCAATAGCCATGCTGAGCTCTAAGGTAAGGTGTGAAATGGCAGGCAAACTCACCAGAGGATGGTCCCACGATAGCTTTTGAAGAATAGGGGAAAACAGAGTCCTCTTCTGCAGAGCCATGCGCACAGTGAGGGGGTCACCCAACTGCAGAAATGCCAGGGCTGCAGACAATTTTGGAAATCAGTGCCAAATCTCACTGTATCAATCTGGTTGAATCCTAATGATTACAACAGGGGGGGTGGGCGGGCCGTCTGACGCCACACTTCGTGCCGGCGCACGGACAGAAACGTTGAAGACGTTCTCACAGTGCACATGCCCAAATGCCAATCGATCGATGACAAGTTTGAACCCTGCTGCTCAATGCTGTGATTGGACATGCCTAAACGACAATCAGCACAGCACAGGAGTTCGAACCCTCGAGCCCTGCTCAATGCAGTGCAGTGCGCAGTTGCCTGTGCTCCCTCTACAAATTACACCACCAATAAGTTAGAGGGCCCCTTTTTCTTTTTCTTTTTTTTTTTTCTTTTTTTTTTGAGGGCCCCCTTTTCTTTCAGCCAAGTTAGGAATACGAATCAAGGCAGAACTTTCCGCAGATGACATGTGTGTGTTGAGGGGGTCAATTCCCGAGTAGGCAGGGAGATTCCCTGGCACGCCCCAGTGTCCACAAGCGTGACCAGGCGGGCGCAGCTTCAACCAAAAAAAAAAAAAAAGGGGGGGAAAAAAAAAAAAAACAGAGGCTCAGGGGCACCCATCAGGTCCATCAGGTTTAAGAACATTGAAAATCACAAATTCCCTCGCTAAAGAGCGCAGTGCTTCCGCACGGGAATGGCGCTCCGCCTCCACCGTCAATGGCCCTCAGTGACTGCACCAGGGCATATGCAACAAGTGGGGGGTTGGGTGAACCCCTCCGTGAGGGAGTCATCAGTACAGAGGGAGCTCTATACGGGGGGTCACTTAAACCAGACGCTGCCTTACAATTTTTCGACGACTATCTGAACTGCAATACACTACCCTAAGTACCCTTGGGCCTTTTTTTTTTTTTTTTTTAAGCGCTAAGGTTTGCCTTCAACCAACCAACGGGCCTAGCTCAGTTTGTACACCCACAAACTCTTGAAATACAGACCCAAGTTCGAATCCAAATCAAATAATATGCAGCACAATAAAATACTTGCTGTTTACCTGGGGCCGGTCAGTTCAATGATGATATCTCAAGGCCGTCGGTTTGCCTTCCTTCCGATGCTTGGGCATGTGGCCCTTGGAAAAAAAAAAAAAAAAAGGTGCTTAGACATGTAGGTACCTAGTGTGAGGTATAAATGAGAGAAGAATAATTGAGAGAAGAATTTTGAGAGACAAATATAACTTTGCAAGGAAAACGAACAGAAGCAAGATGACAATATTCAGATTGCACAATCACATTGAAAGCCAAATCGTATCACAGTGTTCAGAAAGCAGCATTGCACCAATATAACACCAATGGAGAATCGTAGCACTGAAAGTCAATGTCAATGAGAGCTTGCTCTCGCCACCACCAACATATGTATCCAGTCACTATTCCCTACTTGGCGCTCGGCGCCCAGTCTACTCCCTACACAGGTACTACTGGCCTACTAATTGACAATGCAACTGTTGACGTCAGCAGCACCCGATGTACTTGAAGATGTCGCCCATGCAGAACCATTGCCAATACCAGGTATGTGCCCTCACATCATCATCATCATCCTTCTTCTCTCTCTCCCTTGACTCTCTCCCACGTCTTCCTTTGTTGTACACCCGAAGACCACCCCTGCGCCTCACTGTATATCCAAGCCCTGCCAGCTATGGAGGCTGGCCATGGCGCTGCCCTCAGCAGCGCCCTGCTCCCTGCACGACCGCACGTGCCTGCACCTCGCCGCTCAGCGCTAGCAGCAGCCCACGAGCTTCAGCTCCAGCAGCACTGCCGCCAGCATCCAAGTGCCCAAATGGCTGGCCAGGCAGCGAGCTCTTTTGTATATGGAAAAAACCTTCCTCCTTCGGCAGCCTGGCTTGACTGGCCTTGGCCTAGAAACTTCCGGTAGGCCCCAGGATGCTGCGCCTCTGGTGCAGCTACTGGGCCTCATTCGGTTGGGCCTCCCAACTGTCTGTGTATGAGGCTGCGAATCTTGCCCGGGGCCTGTGTTTTCGGAAAGGCCTAGAAGGCCTGGGAATTTCCACGCTGCTCGGCCTGTGTTTCCCTTCAACCAACTGGCGCGACGAAACTGCCTAGACCCCAAATGCGCAATTGGCAGCCAAGGGCCTCTTGTGATTTGTTAGGCCCGCCTTCACTTAGGGCAGGCACATACGCTGCAGGGGGGCCCTTAGGCCTGCCGAGGACCCATATCCTCGCAGCTTCGTTAAACAAAAAACAAAAGAAGGTGCCGGCCTTGGGATATCATCTTCGAACTGAATGACCCCGGGCAATCAGAGTTACATCTGGTTGCATCTGGATTCGAACTTGGGTCTGTGTTTCAACAGATCATGGGTGTACCAACTGAGCTAGGGCAGTGGGTGCACGGCCCTTCTATGCTTTTTCTTCATGTATTCTGCGCTTTCACGTTCATATTCTCGCCTTTCTCTCCTCCGCCTTCTTTCCTATCTCCACCTCCATTTTGGCAGTGTTTTTCAAATCAACCTTTCCCAACCCCACGTTAACCAACTGTGACATTGCGTCTAGGGTTTACGAATTGTCTTCTGGGTGTCGGCACAAATTGCAAGATCGAAAAAGACAGTTAGGTGTTTGTTTCACATTCACTCATATGTGGTCTCCAGTTGTCCGCAGTTTGTTCGCCAGATAACAAAAGCCCCCGATCATGGTTTCCATAACTCAGTAAAGAGATGAACTCACATGCATGTCAGTTTTTCTTTCTTGACATCATCATTGCTTGGATTTTGTATACATCATCCTCTCTCTTCAAAACATTTCAGCATACTGCAACATTCTGTTAAAGTATGGCAGCAAGAAGAAGAAGAACGAAGAAAGTAGGCTGAAGAACGAAGAATGGAGATCAACGAAAGGTTTAGGAGGAAGAAGAAGAAGAAGAAGATGCGGTTTTCTCGATCTATTGATTGTCAAAATTTGACAGGCAAAAAAGCATGTGTTTTCGGAGATGGCACTCATGCAGCTTATACGACTAAGATATTAGCTAGGGAAATGGGATTCGTGTAGCATGCGCAGGTACTTATTGCAAACATGATGCTCACTGGTTTAGAGAAGAAGTACAAGAATATTGTGAAAGAAGAAGAAGAAGAAGAAGAAGAAGAAGAAGAAGAAGAAGAAGAAGAAGAAGAAGAAGAAGAAGAAGAAGAAGAGGAGGAGGAGGAGGAGGTAAGAAGAAAGAGGAAAGAAGAAGAAAGGAGGAGGAGGCCAGTGCTCCGTTCACTTCATGAACTGTTGAGGACGATGTTAGCAGCCATTGACTACAATTGGACTGTTCATTGTTCATGCTATTTAAAGATTCAAATTTGAATAGAAATAATTGAGGAATGGTCGGCAAAACAAAACCATGAATAGGTCGCGACAGCGATTAGCAGGATAGTTCTGAAAGATTATCCGGAGGGATCCACACACAGACAATTCACTCACCAAACTCGATGAACACAACACGTGTTTGTGTGCTCCCCATCCGTCTGTTCATGTCAAAAGCATGAGGCAGCTTGGCCTCGTCGCAGTCCCAGTAGCTACTGTCAGGACGCAATCGGGGATAATAAGGTATCTTCTGTAAAGCGGCCAGGTTAAAATCGAAAGTATCCAAAAGTTGTCTTGCAACCTGTACAAAAGAAATTGCCACATGGGAACATGAAAACAAAAAAAATCACTCACTCCGAATCACATATATGCAACAACAATGCATTTCATTCGACAGCCACTCCTCAGCCTTCCCTGAAACTTTCCAAAGTGCAGTCAATGCTAAATTTTTAACTTTTCAATGCATTTTAATAAATTTTTAATATTTTTATTGAAATTTATTCATTTTTAGACAACACTACCAGCCAGGCCGCCCGAGCCACCTTATGCTGCCTGGGTGGGGCTGCTCATATCACCCCCCGCTAGCAGACTGCTCAGGCTTTTTTCAACAAAGGAGAAGAAGAAGAAGAAGAAGAAGAAGAAGAAGAAGAAGAGGAAGAAGAAGAAGAAGAAGAAGAAGACTTGAATATTTCTGGGAAATCCTCGACCTGAATCTGGACAAGTCTCGACTTTTCAATGCATTTTTAAATTTGTATTCATTTCTAAACAAGGCTACCAGCCAGGCCACCAAGCCATCTTGTGCTGCCAGGGTGGCTGGACCGGGCAAGGTCCCAGCAAAGCCCCGGACAAGCCCCCCGGCAAAAAGAACAA